ATATATATATATATCATCCTGCATTCCGAGTGCATGCCAAAAATGTCAGCTTTAGAAGTAGGATTTTGTTACTGGTATCTTGGTAATGTGAGCAGTACACACTGAGAACTGCAGGCTTGTGTCACTGGACCAGCAGCCCAGGGTAAGCCAGCACACTCAGACCTGTTTTGCCCACCCTTTGCCCCCAGTCCTGCAGTCTAAGGTGGCATCCTGTTGGCCTGGGTCTCAGGAGGTTGCAGGAACACAGGTGCCTCTTTGTGCTGACGGTTTCCCCAGCTCAAAGTTGGCTGGGAGGCTCCGGAGGAAATGAAGGAGTCCAGTGGAATCCATGCCCAGAAGGAAAGTAGGAGGATCACCATGGCAACTGCAACCTGAACACAAGGTAAGCAAGCCCAAGACAGGAGGAGAATCAAGGAGGTGAAGCATCCCAGCTAGAATTTGATGAACAGGTAGGACTTTTGCACTTAGGGGGGATAGGAAGGGGTCTCTGAGAGAAGGGAATAACGTGGTTAAAAGCTCAGGTCAGGGAGGGGTCCCACTGGTTGAGAGACAGGGCAGGAGTAGAGTTCATCTGGCTGGTTGGTTGACAGTGCACCCTTCCAGCAGGCATGGGAAGCATCTTCTCTCCCCTTTCAGCAGGTGGGGCTGCCAGGGAGCTGGGGGTGCTTTCTAGTCCCTCCAGGGAGTTCCATTCCCCAGGAGAGGCTGACCTGAGGCAAAGCCACAGCATCGACTTTGCAATTCAGGAAGCTCAACCAGCCCCAGTTTGGTGAATATACAGGGGTTTTTATTTCACATCCTCAGTGTTAGATTGGAGAGTGCCTGGACACTAGAAGGTGCCATGAGGCTGCGCATAGGGCAAAGCCACCATGACTTAAAGGAGACATCCTAGCCACGGGCTTTCCAGGAGTCCTGATTAGATTGACAAAAAAATAAATAAATAAATAGGCTGGTCTTCAGGGCTTCAATAAACACCCTCCATTGCTTCTTTTAGGATCCAGTCCAGGGCTAGGGTCCTAGCTCAGTAGTAGGTGCTTGCCAGGTATGCACAAGGCCCTGGGGTGGATCTTTAGCACTGAAAACAAAATGGCTTAATACCTGTAGTTCCTGAGTTCCCCAGGCTTTGCTTTGGCCCTGGGCACCACACTCCAAGACTATGAACTTGGAGTCAAAGTAAAAGGCCGAGCGTCCTTTGCTCTGCAAGACTGTGGACACCTGGGTTGAAGTGTAAGGCAGGAAGTGCAGGAAAGAAAGCAAAGCAGCCAACATTTCAGGCTATTCCATGCAGGGCAGGTTCCAGGAAGCCACCCTGGGGGCCAGCCGAGGTCACCTTTGTCACCATGCCTGGCACTTGGAAGTACAAAATGACGAGCATTTAAGTGAACCGTGGGGGTGTAATGAAGGCAACAAGAGGAACCCAGCTAGAGCAAAGGAAGGCAGACACTTCCATGGACCCTCAGCAGTTGCTAACAGCAAGGCAAGCAGCCCATTTGCTTTGGATTCAGGGCTTGGCTTTTCTCTTCGCCCTTCATCTACCTCTGGGATGAACATCTAGCAGGATAGATCCTATTTGTACATAAATCGAAATACTGACATTTTGTGTCAAAAGCACAGGTAAGTTCTTGCATCCTCTCTGGGATATTTCTGCCTGGAGAGGACTTGTGCCCTCCTCCCAGAGTCCCCTGGAGGCACCCCTTAGAAAGCGTGTCCAGCCAGACTCTCTCACACAGTCCCAAGAAAGTGCCATGTCTAAACTTCCTTGGCTGAATCTAATGGACATCAACATCAGGGGACCAGACTTGACTTCCTCCCCCAAGGGCTAAGGTGCCCCAAGAGACACAGGCACCTGTGCCGAGACCACCTTGTCACTGCCTTGACCTCTTTTACTGCCAGAAACATCCCAGCTACTGCCCGATGCAGGGGTGCAAAACCAGGAAGAGGGATGTGCACCACATACGCTCCTGATGGCAAACGGTCTTGCAAGAAAACCCAAGACCGTCGCTATTTCTGTCCACCGTGAGCGGACCTGACCCCACGGCCTCCACCACAGGGAGCCAGCACAGTGACAAGCCACTGAAATAAGATGAAGCAGCGCTGTGGTGTAAGTATCTTTCCAAAACTGCACTTCATGACTGCAAAGTCAGCCTCCTCAAAACCACTCCACCGCTCCTGTCTGCCCACCCCCTCAGCCAGCTCTGCAGCAGCCCCTCCCCATTCCTTCCCAGAGCCCCGCATGCCGCCTCACTGGGCTCAGCCTCGGCAGTGAGCCCTGGTGAGCAAAATTGCTTTACCTCCTTAAAAAGGCCTCAGAGACTGAAAGAGAGCCCGTCTCTCCCCGTCTCTCCCCGTCTCTCCCTGTCTCTCCCGCCGGCCCAGCCCAGCAAGGTGGTGAGCAGATCCCTCAATCATGAAAGCCATGCAGAGAATCCGCACTGCCACCCAATTGGTTTCTGCCAGGTGCTGGCGGGCTGCAGCACAGCCTTGCTGTCAGCGCTTCATGAAGGCGACCTGCTGAGGGCTGGGGCGGGCGCTCCTAGGGTCAGGCATGGGGCAGGACATGTCTCTGCACAGGGAACCAATCTGAGCAGGGCGCATAGTTGGGAAAGGACACTCAGGGCTGTCCAGTGCACAGAGGGGCCCTCTGCCATCGTCTACATATCTGGGTGCCCTGGTGACAGAAGGTACCCCTTGCTGGGGGCCACAGGGCTAAACCCATTGTATCCCAGGAGACTTTAATAAAGAAAAGAGGCTCGTTAGGGCACAGTCTTGGAGGTTTGGGGGCATTGGTCCTGGCATCTGCTCTGCTCTGATGCGGCCCCCCCTTGGCTGTATCACAGGGCAGTTGCTGAAGGCGCTGCAGAGCTTGAGAGAGGCGGGAAGACAGTCAGAGAGTGGGGAGGGGCCAGTGGGGATGGGGTGGGGCCAGAGATAATGGGGAGGAGCTAGAGAGAGTGGGAGGGGCCAGAGAGAAGGGGGTGGGGCCAGCCTTGCTCCTTTGTGACAACCCACTATTGCAGGAGTGCCTGGGGTCTCTGAGAACCACATAATCCTACTGAGGGAGGCGACCCTGTGACCCAGGTACCCTGCACTAAGCCCCACTTCTAACGGTCCCCCCGCCTCTTGCGAGGCCCTGCGGGAGGAGGCACATCCAAGCCACAGCGCAGGGCACGGCAGGGTGCGGGCAGAGCAGAGCCTCAGCCACTCAGTGTGTCAGTACATGGCCTCGCTCCTCTGTGAAAGGAAGCGACACAGCCCCGCCCCTCTGAGGGGCTGCACAGACGCAGGGAGATAGCGGGCCTGGCAGGACTGTAGAGCTCAGCTGTGCTGTAGGGAAGTTACACTGGCCCGGCTTCCCTTCCGCCCTCTCCTGGCTCCCACACTCTGTCCGTCCTTCAGACCCTTCCTAACAGGGCTGTTGTGGGGGGATCTCCGGCCTCAGAAAGGGTATGTCGGAGTCCCGGGCCCCAGCACCTGTGGAGGTGACCTGCGGAAGTAGGGACTGTGCGGAGGTGATCAGCCGATCTAGAGAAGGGCTCCTCCAGGGTCATGAGCTCGTGTCGTTAAAAACCACACTCCCTTATTTGCATCTTGCTCCTTTGGGAATGGAATGGGCCTACCAGATGGGTCCTGGCCACATAAAAAGGACCACTGCACTCAATTTGGACCTGTTTTGACTTCTTGAAAGGAACTGAACTTAGCATCCTCCTGAGGACCCAGTTCAAGTAGGAGACTTGAGGGGCGGAAAAGATAGGACTCCGAGATGCCGGAGACCAGAGGTCCTGAGAGACACACCGAGCAGAAGCTGCATCCAAACACACCGACCCCGCCGGTGCAGCCATTGCTGTGGTAAAGCACGAGGCCCGACCTGGGGTAGGAGCCAGGAGGTCTGTGACAGGAAAGAAGCTCTGTTCTTATTGTCACCGTTTAATGCATCTTAGCACACATTACCGGCCCCAAGAGCACAGGCAACAAAGCACACAGAGGTGGTGGTCAGAATCCGACATTTCCTACCACGTTGTGGATGTCATAGATGACCTTCCTGGGTGGCTCCGTGGGGCCACTATGGTGGTTACTAGACAGCTCGATCTTGTTTTTTAATGTTTTAATTTTTTAAAATGGGTGGGTCACAATAACACAGTTCTGGGGGAGTGATATTTTGTTTCCACAGAATGGTTTCCTTGGTAAGACTATTCATTTATTTCATGCACGTATCCTGCACCAAGCTGCCCTGGCGCCACCCCATGGCGCGAAACCCTTTGGAGGCTCCTGACTTAGACATGAGAAATCTGCACGAGTGCCCGCTATCTCTTCTTACGATGTGCTCTGTGCAGTTGGGACTTGTAAAAAACGGCCTGTCGCATGAGCAAGACAGATGATCTTCCTGCCATGCTAATAGGAGCAAATAGAACCTTTTACATCTCTGTAGAACAACACGGTTGATAAAGAGGCAACAGACTCCACCTAATGGGCATCAGTAGGCTGCCCAACGGGAACGGGCCTGTCTGTCTTTGCGAACTGTTTTACTCCTATGACGCTGTGTCATTTCCAGGAATCAGATGGTAAAAATGATATATTTTTGTGGTTTGGCGTCCGCAGCTTTGCTCTGGCTTCACTGGTAACCGTCAACATCTGCAAATTATTATGCGCTTAAAAAAGAAAATCCACCACCACTGCAGGCTGCACCCTTCGTCCCCGGAGGGGCCAGCCTTCCTGCCAGGCCATGGAGTTTCGAACTGGGATCGAAACCAGGCTTCCCAGCAAACCCTCATAGACATTTGTAAATAAGAGTGAGGAGCCCACTGTCTGCGGCTTTCTCAGCCCTAGGAGGCTGACTGTCGCATCATCCACTCGAGTTCTGAGGACAAAGAAACTGTGACAGCCAAACTAAAAATGCACCAGGGCCAGCGCTGTCTTTACCGCTATCAAAAGACTACGAGTTCTTGACTCATTCGGGCCCAGGGCCACCCAAAGAGAACTCTGTGTTTGGGTGCCTTCCCCTAAGTGAGGGAGCAGAGGCTCTGCCAGTCATGGAACACACATCAAAGGCTTGGAGAAGCCCGAGCCTGGCGCTCAGAACCTTGGCAGGACCGCACCTTGCCCAGGAGCCCGTGCCGTGCTCGTCCAAGCCGGCTGGCTCTCGTGACTGCCTCGGAACAACAGGGCAGATGTGCGTGTGGGAAGCGAGCCTCGCCCAACATCTGTCCCGCGGCGGGCAGGCCTGGGAGTGCACAGATGGCGCTGGAGTCCCCAGGTGGGCGGCGCAGACAATTAGTGGGTGCTGCATCATGGGTAATCTAATGACCGGGGACACGAGGTGAAACGTGGTGTGATGAGCTACGCCACTCCTCCCGGTCGCTCTGTATTTTTCTTCTGATAATTTGTGCCCCAACTCACGTGAAGGTCACAGAGTTTCATTTGAAAGAGGCTGAGTGGACTCATTCATGTGCCCTACGCCTGGACCCGAAGTGCTGAGTGGCTGCCCTTGCGAGGAAGGCGAGGAGGAGGGGTATGCCGCTGAAATTAGAGTGAAGTACTCAGAAAGAGACCACAAAGGTTTTTGGTGAAATTATACTTTGGAAAGTGAGTGTCCCTCTAAGCTGATTATGATAGACTTGGACGGATCACAGGAGGCTCAGACAGAAGACAAAGGGACGACTCCAGAGAGACTTCCTGGAGGAGGTGAGCTCTTTGAAGTGATGATGTGCACAGTTTGAGAGAAAAAAATTGGAAAAAGGAAGACTATGAAAGCCAAGGAAAGAGTAGGAGATGAATCAAAGGGACAAGGACCCAAAAATATGGTTGGGACCTAAGACAAGGACCTTGATTCAAGATAGGAGCCTCTCTCAGAGATGCCACATGACAGGGCAAAGAGGTCCAGCTGTCCACCCCAGGCTGCAAGAAGACATCAGGTGACAGATGCCCAAGCAGTCCGAGCAATCAAGTCTTCCAAAATGTCATCCAGAGAGGGTGACACACCAAACACATAAAGCCTTGTGACAGCTAGGATTGGCACATAGTCGGTGAATAAACACCCACTGTATTGAGAACTTCAAACTCATGCCCTCCGTTATCCACGGTGAGCTCACTGATACATGTTTAAGCCTTGATTGTCCAGAAGGGGGACAGTGCATTCTGCTAAGCAGTGGATAACCTATCTTTCCTACAATTTTTTCGTGTAGACAGATCGCATTGAAATTACTTCCTCATTTTGGACCACATGGCAAGGGACAAAGTTGTTGAGAAGAGGGCGCACCACGCAGTTCCCAAGCAGGGAGAAGATCTACGTGAACGGCACAGTTTCTAGCAGGTGGTGACATCTTCTTACCTAAGTACTGGAGAGGAAGCCTTGACCTTGTGACCTTGCAGATGGCATCTCAAGGGATGATGTTAATTTAAGACTCTGTCATAGGAGCTCTAGGGTCTGTCCCACCAGGGAAGGAGGCTACTGAGCACAGGCCACAGATCATCCAACACACACACACACAGAGTCAGGACCATGAACTTGTGGTTCTGTGTTCCCAGCATGAGGACCCCACTGCAGAGGCACTGGAGAACAGCCTGCGCCTTCCGTTCAGGGCTTGGGATTCATCGTGGAGAACTTCTTTGATCCTCAGTCCAGTGAAGGCGACTGTCTTCCTTCCCGTGGACTGCCACAGCAAAGCCCAACCAAGCAGAGTGACTTAAAACACCAGACAAGAATTCTCTCTCCATTCTGGAGTACAGAAGTTCAAAATTCAAGTGTCAGCAGAGTCGATTTTTCCTAAGGATCTTTCCCAGGCCTCTCTGTTAGCTTCTGAGGTTGCCGGCTGGCAATGTTTGGCGTCCTGTGGCTTGTGGGCAAATCCGTCCGATCCTTGCCTCTGGGGTGACAGGCCTTCTGCCTCTGCACATCTCTGTTCTCCTCTCCCCATCTCTGTTCTCCTCTCCCCTTCATGAAGATGCCATTTTATGGAATTAGGGTCCCTCCAGCTTGACCATCTATCAACTAGGTATACCTGTAACAATCTGATTCCAGCAGAACGTCACTTGCTCAGGGTCAGGACTTTAGGATATCGTGTTGAGGTCAGCCCCCAGCAGACAAATGCAGAACTGGCATGATATAGGCTCATGTCCTGGGGTTTCTACCGATGCACTTTTCTGTTTGAACTTGAAACACAAGGAGCCGCCCCTCTGTCAAAGTCCCCTATACACAAGTGCCTGCCTCTGGTGACCAAAGTCTTTCACAGTCTTGGGTCAGTGGCAGTAAGTTGCATTTCATGTTTCCACACAGGCCCGTGTATAGAAGCCAGTGCTTCCAGCAGGAAGAGAATGATTTGAAAATTCTATCCTAGGAGGGTCCCTAACTTCATGAATAAAAATAGTTATATTTGAATTGCAGATAAACCATGAACAATAATTTTAGTATACTTACGTCCCATATAATATTTTAAATCTGCTTATTAAACTTATGAAATGTAAAGGTAGCAGGGTGCTCAGTATTTCACCTGGCCAGCCTGTGCCCCCACACGAACAAGAGCTGATGTGTGCTGGTGGCCGTTCCCCACCTCCAAGCTCTGCCCGCACTCGATCTGCCCTACAGGCTGCGGGCAGGTTTTTTGCGCAATCTCTTTTAAAAGAAAAAAGCCCTTCAACAAACTAAATTTAGTAGCGTTTAAACCAGGTATGGTAGCACGACCTGTAATCCCAGCACTCTGGGAGGCCGAGGCAGGAAGGTCACAAGTTCAAGTCCAACTCGAGCAACATAGCAACTTAGCCAGACCCTGTCTTAAAAAATAAAAAAGGGCTGGGCATGTAGCTCAGTGTGGAGCCCTTGGGTTCCATCCCCGATAAAACAAACAAATAAAAAAATTAGCAGGTCAGATTTGGCACAGAATACTCACACGCTGGGTAGCCCTCAGTTTGAATGAGAACGCATTCTAAGAACTCTGGTCTGCAGCGCGAGCAGGGTATTCACGGACAGGCAGGGACACGGAGCTGCACAGACAGCTTTATTGGCACCAGCTCAGCGCTTGGCCTTATTCAGATTGGCCAGACCTCGAAGCTGACTGAAACGCGGCTGCTGTGACTGATTGAATCCAGGCTACTTAGGACCAGGTGAACACCATCGACCCTCAGTACCCTCCGGGCACTTGCTCCAGAACCGTTCCCAGCACCAAAATCCAAGGATGCTCCAGTGCCTCGCATAAAATGCCACTGTATTTGCACACAACCTGTACACCTCCTCCCGTGTACTTTAAATCATCTCTAGATGGCTTCTGACGCCCAACACAATGTGATCGCTATATTAGTCCTCATTATATACTGCGCTATTTAGGGCTTAGTCACAAGGGAAAGAAAAGTTTGCACGTTTTCAATAGACATAATTCTTTTAAAAACAATTATTTTCTATCTGTGGTTGGTTGACTGTAGATATTGAACCCCCAGATACAGAGGAGACTAAATTAAGCTTTAGTCAGTTCACACACTAAATTAGATCATGCTCCATTAAAGACCTAAGCACTAAGGCGTCCTCAGGCTACATTTAGTTAACTGAACACCCCCACTGGGGCAGAGGGACCACAGCCAAGGAGATCAACATGAAATTTTAAACCGTGGCAAATATTTCCCCAAATTAAACCACTCCCACAGACCTGATCACGCTGGACCACCTAAGATGGTGTTGCTCGAATGTATTACTCCTCTTCCTACACTATGAGTGAGTAGGAGGTAGCTAAGGAAACGGCTGGGAACAAAAGGAGGGAGGCTTGCCATGGAGCCCACTTTCTGGGGTGGACCCCCTTCTAAGTTAAAAGCTAGCCCAGGCCCAGGAGGCCCAGGTCTGAATACAATGGGACGAGGTAACCGGGTAGCTCATGCACAGTACGTCCCACACATGCCCACAGCGGTCTTCTGCAACCCTTGGCGACCCCAACCTTAATCACCATATCACTGGTTATGCAAATTTGAGCCCTGTGGGCTGTGGACACCATGACAGCTCCTCTAAGGGCCCCACAAGGTCAAACACTCCACTGCCCGATGGAGGGGCTGAGTCAGGCTGCCCACGGCAGGAGTCACACTTCCGACCAGACCTTCAGTCCCGCCCCAAACCCGAAGGCTTGAGACCCTCAGCACCAAGCCCATGCAGCTCTCTGAGCTCCTCCCACTGGCCACGCTGACCCCTGGAGTGGATCCTGTCTTTTCCAAATGAATCACTGACCCTGCTATTGCTCTTGGGTGTCCTGCTTGGTTCTTTCTTTAAGACACCAGGAGCCTGGACAGGACCCCAACCTAGTAATATAATGACATGTCCAATGCTACATAAAATTGTCTACATGCTCTAGCTTTTGAAGTTGATTTTCATTTCCAAATTGCTGTGACCTGTCTGTCCGAAGAGTCACCAACTGAACCCTCTTCCCACCAGCTTTTCTTACCCAAACCTAGCGGGAACCATGTCCTGGTCTGGGAGCCTTTTCTGCTCACCATTCTGTCCGTTCATGGAGCTGGAGATGGCTTCTCAGAGTGTCTGTGACCCCCCACAGTGACCTCAAGTCACTGTGTTAAAACAGGGCCACAGGGAGAGGGACGTTCCCGCTACAGTGACGCCATCATCACTGTACATAGAACCAATCAGAAAGGTGCAGTTTTGGACCAATCAGAAACTTGCTGTTTTCAACCCTTCCTTTAAATCTGGTGCTGTACCTAGCACCAATTAGAAGACGCTCTTTCCAATCCTTCATTTGCATGTGGACACAGCCAATCAAAAGACTTCCTGACCCTTCATTTACATGTAACAGGAAGCCAAGTAAGCTTTTTGATAGGACAGTTTATTCATGGCCTGAGGATAGGACAACTATTCCACTGTGTTATTTCCATGAGAGGAAGCTCACCTGGGAATTTTGGATACAAAACACCCCTTCCGCTTATCCTGGGCCAGCACAGGCTGTCCACCAGCCCGCTCTCACCCTGCAGAGTGCATTCTTTTCCACCCTCAGTGGATGCGCACCCTCACTGCCTTTTCCATGTGCCTTGCACAGTTCTTTCTTCGGGACCTGAAGAAGCCCCAGGGCCCCTCCATCAGTAACAGTGTGGCTGGTAAACTGGTGGCTCTCCCACAGCCAGTGTAGAGCCAGCTCTGGTGTCTGTGCAGGCTTCACTGCTCTTGGCCGCAGACCCTTGCCCATGGGGCCTCCACCTCAGGCCCCTCCAGACGCCTTTGGGCTCCCCACAACCTCCCACCTGCGTGGCAACCCAGAGGCTCCCCAGGTCTGCTCTGGGGAGGAATCTTTCACCCAACTCCACCCACTGCTTCTCTACCTTAAAAATGAGAAGGCAGCGTCCCTTCACAAGCAAGGCCTGTCGCTGCAGGGCACAACATTCTCTAAAGTCGGATTTCCAACATTTTCGGGTCACTTGCCCCTGTTCCTGACTTTCCTGCTCTCTGTCCCTTCTTTAGGCCACACCCACCAACCTCCTGTAAACACTAATTCCAGGCCTTGGCCTTCCTCGAAAGAGCCCTGCCCGCTGGCTCCCAGCAGCTGCCCTGTTGCCCCTGATGGTCCCTGTGGTTTGGAATCCAGCGAATCCCCTCCCACGGCTCCCTCCAGCAGCCTCACGTTGTTTCTGGCTCCTTGCAGGACTGTCTCAAGTTCAAAGAAAACGGAAGGCCCCAGGAGCGCGGGTGTGAGTAGCAGGCTGGGACAGGGAGGGGGCGGCAGGAGGCGGCGACACGTGGGACCTCGGCGCCACACACTGACCCCCATCCCCAGCCACGTGAGTTCAGTCACTGTCAGCCAAACGGGCTGCCTGGGAGATGGGGACTGTCCTTCCTGTCACCTGGAACTTCACAGAGCCAAGAGTTGTGGATCTCCTCCCCAGAGCAGGCCTGGCAGTGACCGACTCCCAGGCTGAGGTCCAGGCACCCTCTGTAGCCGTCAGCCTCCCTCCAGATTGCTCGTCTTGCAGTTTAAGACAAAAAAGCAAACAACAAACACTGATGAAAGTGCGGAGTACAAGTAAAAGACTTTGTTTTTCTCCTCCCAGGCTTTTGAACAATCCAGGGCCTGGTGCGTGTTAGGCAAGTGTTCTACCACTGAGCTGCACCTCTACCTGATGGTCCCTTTCATTGTATGTGTGTAGCTCTGAAGATTGAATCCAGGGCCTTCCGTTGAGTACATCCCCAGCCCTTCTCTCTCTCTCTCTTTCTTTCTTTCTCTCTTTCTCTCTTTCTTTCTTTTTTTCAGGATCCCACTAAGTTGCCAAGTTGCCCAGGCAGGCCTCGAATTTGCCATCCTCCTGCCTCAGCCTCCAAGAAGGCCTGATGTTGGTGTCCAGTCCCTGTGGTCTGAATACACCGGTCAGGCTAGCAATATGGGATAGAAAAGACAACCCACAGGGGGAAAAACCAAGATTAATCTGTAGAGAGTTACTTGGTCTTTTTTTTTATTTCAATTTAGTTTTTAACTGCTACCTCAGAACATAAAATTATCCATATCAATAGGATATCGAGTGTGCAATGTGAAATCAGGTTAAACATCTGTCTCCTCAAACATTTTTCTGTTTTTCATGATGAAGAACATTCAAAATGTTCTTCCCGCTGGCTTTTGCAGTGTTGGGGATTGAACCCAGGCATCCTGCATGCTAGGCAAGTGCTCTACCTCTGAGCTACCTCCCTAGCTCCTGCAATGCACAGCACTGTGTTCTTATCTGCAGTTGCCCTGTGGTGCAACAGCACAGCACAACTCCTCGATCCTCTCTAGCTT